GACATGGCAAAAAAGTTGGGTAAAAACATTAGTTCCAAAAGTTGTTGATAAACGAAAATGTGGCTTGGTTTTAGTGTACAAAGCTGAGAACTATACAAATCAATAACAAAGAACAAATTTTATTGCAACACTGCTTTAATGCAGTAAATGAACAGCCCAAAGTGTTATAGAGATTATCTTTCAGTGTACCATAGCCTTTTATTCAATAAAAGAGATTTGTCAGCAAGGGTGTAGTCTTCTTACTATGCGATCATTTTCTAACAGATCACACATCCTTGTCACAACATTCTCAATAGGCAAATGTAACATAGCACCAGAAATCCTCAACCTCAACACCCTGTGATATGTTGTCCTTTAAGGTCATTGAGGTCGGAACCCCCATCAAGCTAGAACTTTATATAATCCCAAAGGTAAAAGTCACATTAAGTTAGATCAGAGAAGTGAGATGGCCATGCAAGTGGAAAAAAAAGACTTACGACTTTTTCTTCTGCAAAGTGATGCACAACAGACGCTTGTATGGATAGACCAATGTGCAGAGGTGCTCCATTCTGCAACAGTTACCTGATCCAGCAACTGCCTCTGCTAAAGTCATGAAATCACAAAACTAGTGTCAACATATTGCGATACATATTGTGTCTGTGGTCCAGTTAGAGCAATGTTCTTAAAAAAGAGTGGTCCAGTGATGAAGTGGACTAAACACAGTGACCTCTGGTGAATGCAGCAGTTTTTTTTAGCTACATGCGGTTGTTTGTATGACTAAATTCAAGAATTACGAGTGTTAATAGTTCCACTTAGGTGTAAACGGGCAACATCTCAAGCTTCATGAACCTCCATCCCAGCAAGAAATGTCAGAGACAATGTCACCCATTTATCATAATCAATGAGTTTTAATTCCTGCCATGAGGGTTGTCTTGTATGGGTACATGGAAAAAATTTTTTGCAAGATTTGCCATGCCGCTGAAAGATTTTAAGGTACTCTTCATTATCAGGATCGGGTTCAGAAAAGAATGTATGTATTTGTTCATGTATGCATGCATATATGTAAGTGCAAATGTATGTGTGTGTATACATATACACATTACATACAAACACATGTTCATACATTTCTGAATTCAGTTCTGATAACAGAACAGTACCAATTTAAACCAATCGTACTATTTCTCAGATACTGCTGCTACCAGTATTTATCCCATGGGTGCCATCAACTATTGCAGTCGCAATATCAGTAACTATTCTGATACTGATTTCCACCCTCTACCAAACCAAACTATTAAAGATACTGTTTCTTCAAACATTTGAATCATGCCTTTCAATGCATTAATTGACGGAAGGCCTTTGTAAAGGTTGTTATGACTTCTAAACTCACAAAAGAGAGCAGGTTGTGTTCAGTTGAAAATTAAACAACTTCACAAGCAACTCACACTGAGGTAAAGCAAGAAGCACGTTGAACTCGGATAACATTCAAAATGTCCTTCGGTTCTTTCCACCATCTTTACAAAATGAATTACAGAAGTTGCTGTCATTTACATAACTGAGCACTTGTATTTTTATTGAAATAATAATTGAAATATTGAAAATTTTACATGCATTCCATGCAAATTTTCAATTCAAGATTAGAACAGCGCCACATTTTTCACAATCGACAACTTATGGAACTTATTTTTTTTTTAATCCATGGAATCTTTTTCCAATGTCTTCATTAGTTCCCCTACCAAATTTTGTGGCATTCCGGCTGATAGATCAAGCTACAGATGACTCTGAGTACTGTCAGTAAAAAAAAGAGAAAAATTGTATTACAAAACATAAATCATTTTATGACACTTTTCATGTATATGAATCCTTAACAGTGAGTAAAAATTCAACTTTTTTTCAAGAAATATTTGCAATAACAAAATATAATGTTCATTATTTCACAAAATGTTTTACAGCACTATATAAAATTTGCTGTAAACTTGGTAAATGCATGAAACCATTTTTCATTTATGTGAAAACTGCAAAAGAATTCTTCCAATTTGTTATTTAATAAATTTAAAATTAAAATCCAAAAACCAATCATTCTAATTCAATAATTTAAAACATGCAACTTTCAAATTCTACCTATGTTAGGCATATTGAAATTGTTGCAAAACATATTTTTGATCGAATTTTAGATTTTAAAATGTAGTACAATACATGCCCCCCAAATACAAACTCGCTTATGGCGAACATTCAGTTAACATGAACAAAATTTCCATCTCGGGATTGACATAAATCTTATAGGAAGTTTTATTGATTAGCATGAATTAAGAACTTTTTCAGTCGTATAATTTAATACAAAATTCCAAAGTTTTTTTTTAGATTTTTTCCTCGTTGCTTCTCTGCTAGGATTACGTTCAGAAATTTTCCACCCGATTAATTGAGAACCTCACCGAATACACTGTATTCTTTAAAACATAGCCAGCATGAGTGACACTGCTCAACTATCGTGATCATTGCATCAATGGCGAGTTTTGGAGCCTGTTAGTGCAGACGACGACATTGCTGTTGTGTTCCACTGGAATCGGATGTAGAAGCAGTTGCGTACAAGATGCAACAAATATCTTCAGAAGAAATTGAGAAGGACAACATCATTCCACCCAGCCGCCAAGCAGCATTACATGCCTTGGACACTGTAGAACATTTTGCTGCAACTTCTGAATTGACCACTAGTTTTACGGAAGCTTTTCCTTTCACCTTAGTTGTGAGGATGATGATCAGTGGGTGCATTTTTTAAAACTCTATGATGATATACATAATATATTGCATTATTATATACCTGTATACTATATATAGTTAATATGTAAAAAAAAATAATTCCAGAGATAACATTTCAGTCGCAACAGACACAGTTGATTTTTCAGTCCCTTGAGATTCGTGTTAACAAGGCTTTACTGTATATATTTTAGCTTGCCCTTTAAAGCTTGAATTTACTTCCTTCTTAACACAAAATATGCAATTTAACAAATCTCTAATCATTTCACATCATCATTTACCAAGAAAACTTAGCAGCTATGCTTGATCCAAACATGTATTGAAAATTAATACATATGATAAATTTTATACATACCCAAGAACTGCAACACAGAAATTTTTTTAAATTTAGAAATTAACAGTAATCATAGTGACATTCTTTTACATGCTTCATAACAATGGTTATGCAGAGGAAAATTACTGGATCATTTTTCTGTTATTCTTTACACTTTTCTTTATTTTAATTTTGGCAACAATAGAGTGTATGTGGAATATAAAAGTGTTGAGTGATGGTACCTTTTTATACTTTCTGCACAACATCATAGAAAAACTTAATAATCTCAATCATGGTTTACTGAGTAAAAATAAAATTATTTCACAGATGGAAAGGCTTTGCTCTGAAAATAAACTAAATATTTAGACCAAAGAACTACAAAAGCAAATGCATAATTTTAAAACTATTATAAAAACTAAACAAGATGATATTCAGATATCTTCAAAAAACTACTCAAACTGTTAGCAATATTGCATTATTTAGCTGCCTGATTCAGGAAATTTAAGATCAGATTTCAAGATGTAAGAAATGTCTGTTACTTATAGAAAATCAACGGAATGTATGCAAAAAGGAATTATTAAAAAATTAACTGCACTGGGATACAATTATGCAACATCATTTGGCAAAATCCTTGAGTATATCAAAATATGTAGTTTTTAAACTACATATTTTGATTTTTTAAGGGGGGGAAGAGAAGTATGCTGGATAGTTAGTATCAAAAAATAGAAGACTGGAAAAAAATGTGTATAAAAGCTGGTTTCATTTTTGGCACTAACATATCTTTGTGAATAATTTTATTATAAAATGAAATATGCAAAGAGCTTACACAGGGTGAATCTGAACAAATAGGCAAAATTTTAGGGGGGTGATAGAAGGCAGCTATATGAGCAATATTTATCATAGAATGTATGGTCAGAACGCAAGCGGTGAAAAGTTGAAGGGTAGTTTTCCACTGTCACATTAAAAAAAAAAAATTAACACAAGAATGAGGAAATGCTTGAGAAAACATTTTATTAACAGAAAATGCTCATAGAAATTGCTCAAAAAGCCCTTTCGCCAGCTATAATGCAGGTTTCACAACTGCAGGATAGGATTTATGTATATTTGTGAAGAAATCGGCATTTCTCAAATATCGCTGGCAACAATGGCGATTTTGGCGACTAGATTCATACTGGTTTCAATGGAACATTTTTAGATTAGGTTTTTCATATGACAACAGAGGAAAACGTCCAAACACAAGAGATTTGGTGATCTTAGTGGCCAAGTTATGAGACCACCTTGACTAATCCATCACCCTGGAAATTTTGGAGTTTGCATAACCAGCCAATCTCTTCGCAATCCACGATAGAAAATGGCTTTGGGTGCGAGGACCGGCGCTTTTCATACCCTTTATTTATCTAGCGGCTCGCAATCTGGGTTTTAATCATACATTCTATGATGAATATCGCTCGTATAGCTATCTCCCTTCCATCAGCCCCTAAAGTTTTGCCCACTTGTTCAGATTCCTGTAAAGAAATCAACTAACTTGATGATTTACTACAGTATTTATTACAGTAATTAAAAAAGTTATCATCAAAAACAGTAAAAAGTTTGTCCTAAGTCACAAATCACATTAGCTTTTAAATAAACATTCAAACGTATTAAAGTTTACTTTGTATTTTTACATTATTAGCCTATGAGGTGTTTCATATATGTTACAATTTGTATAATGTAGCAACTATATGTACGCTGCCCAATTTAAAAATTGTTGATGGAGGTTCTAAGATCCATAAAAATGATCTTATAAAAATATTAAAATTTAACAGAGAATGGGGGGGGGATAAATTTCCATTTAATTTACTTTGAAATCATAGTTAAGTTTTTCTACTATATTTTAAGTATCCAAAGTGTTCATTTTTATTTACAAACAATACCAGAAGTTTTAAATATGTAAGAAAAATAAAAAACTGATACTTACTTATTTTGTGATTCAGTTTTCATATATGGTGAACCATCATTCTTCAATAGCTCATCAGATCTATACCCAGGACTTCCATTAGCTTTATAATTTTCTGTACAGCTGTCTCTGCTGGTGTCATATAAATGATTAAAATCCTCCTCCTCAAACTTTTGTTTTTTCTCAGGGGGCTCAATGTCATCCTTTACTTTAGTTGTCTCTATGCCACCTCCACCATGCCTAATGTCCAACCCATCATCAGAGGGTAGATTGGACGATTGCATGACCAGGGGTGGTTCAATGGCTACAGAATTTGTACTGCCATCTTCCATAGCAAATGAATCAATTACTTGCAACCTCGCTTCTCTTTGTTTCAAAGACTGACGAGTATCTGGGGAAAACTCTTTGCTTGTCGCCATTGATGCAAAATGATTAAAAGGAAACTATAAGCACTTTTCATAAAAGACTAAAGTTCCAATAAAAATACAGAATTAGTCTTCTAGTCTGACATTTCTTGAAAATTCATGGAACAAAGCTAAATGCCCTAAAAGAGAGAGCAAATTTAATATGATGCTCTGTCTTCAAAAGAACATTAGCAATGGACACATGACTGCTCACAATTTAAGAACTGTGATAATTATTTTAAAATCTCTTAAAAAATTAATCCCATTATAAACATTTTAAGGAAACAGCTTTCAAAATGTGTCAAAATCTTTTCCTACATGATACTGCAATACATTAATTGTTAACAAAAAAAAAAAAAAAAAAAAAAAAAAAAAAAAAAAAAAATTCATGTAAAATACACAGCTTGAAAAAGAAAGTTAAGCAATAAACAAAACAAGATTAAAACATCAAAACACAGAATGTAAAATGCTTAGTTGTCCTGGATTTTAAAGTTTTCCTTCACAATACATCCAGGTTCTGTAAATATTCTAAGATTTTATGTAAATAAATATATAATTTTTTTTTAAAAAAAAATGAATGAGTCTGTAAGAATTTTCTCAAGTTCCTACTATATTTTGCATACCTGAAAAAATAAGAAGAACAATAAAATCACTTGCAGAATGCTAAGATCATTTTGAAATTTTGTAGGATGTCCCATAACTAGTGCCTACACTTTGTACAGCCAGATTCCTCGTTGGGAGTCCACAAAAAGAGAAGAGCTGTACCTGTACCATCCCATACTTTACAAGAAAATCACATCACAGCTGTTGCAACAAAAACAAACTTTGACAGGGTTCGTACACATTTCTGCACACGAAAATTGAGTACTTTTAAGGACTTTTAAAGACCATTAATTAAAAAATTACGGACCTATGGACAAACGGGAACTGAACAAATTCAATTAAAAATATTATTCTATGCCTGAATTTCACTTTTGTAATACCATCCTAAAAATAAAATAGATCCCTAAGTAGTATGCATTATTGCTAAACATGAATTAATTAACATAATTATTAATAAGTTTGAGAATAAAATAAGCTTCATGCAGTTTTCAAATAGCCTTAAATATTTTACACTTATAATAGGTTGGACATATTTGAAAGAAGATAAGTGACATTTACATTTTACTAATAGAGTCAAAAGTCGTTAATTCGGACACCCATAATCCGGAATGATCTATAATCCGGACCTCAAAGCTAAAAACTTTCTGCGCATGCGCCGTGTTGACACATGCGCATAGGTGTTTGTGCGTGAGCATAAGACCTTTTACGTCTGCGCATATGCGTGTGCGCAAGTGCAGAATACGTTTTCGCGTGCATGTTTTATGTATAAGGGACGGTATAAGCTAAAATTATCTATTTCAGTTAATGTTGATGATTGCGTTGTTCCTTAATTTTCGAATTGGATCCGGCTTATTATTTTTTGCAGACTGTAAGAGCAATACTATAAAGTAAACTTGAACTTTCGATTATGTCAAATAGAATTTCCGATTCTGGAGCTCCCAAAGGATCGTACAAAACGAAAGTATGTTTCGATGTCCATCAAACAAAAAGTGGAATTGCTGCAAAAAATGGATAAAGACATGAAGAATGTGACAGAGAGGTTAGTGAAAACGAAAAAATTTCGATTGACAAGTTAGTCGGTATTCTCGGCACAGCAATTAACAGCGGAACTTTGTATCTGAACAGGAAATTATGTCTGTTTATAGAATTAAAGAGAAAGTATTATCACATAAAACGAAGCAACTTAAACAACTTACATTGAAAGAAATGTTTAATAAAGTAAACAAATAAATATTAAGCTTTTTTTTTTGTAAATTCTGATACCCTTTAGATCATAATTGTTCTTTATTTCATAAATTACGGTTTCATATTTTTAATTTTAGAATCTCTGCGTGAAATCTTAAGAGATTTAAACTGATGATCTATAATCCGGAATTGCCGAAGTCCCGACGAGTCCGGATTAACGACTTTTGACTGTAGTTAGCTTTATGTTGATTTTTTTTATGCCTCATTTTGTCACATACTTGGTCAGTCTGGAGCAGAGGTTCTCAATCGGTGGTACGTAAGAAAAAAATAGGTACTACCCAAAGAAGCAAAGTACTTTTAAATACTTATTTCAAAAATTAAAACCCCAACATCCTGATTGAGTTTTTTCTCTAACACTAGTAAATTTATGCGATCTGAGCTTTGTTCAAGAGTGGTTCTGGTACTAGTACTTTGTAGCGGTGATACTAAAGGTTTTCATAGTCAAAAAGGTTGAGAACCGCGCGTCTAGAGGTTTAGTAAATAGCAGGTAGATTTTATGTCAAACAGCATATATTAAAATAACAAGTAAGATCATAATCAGCATGATTCATAACCAAAAGACTGAATGTTATCACCGCTGCTGCTTGTCTAGAGAGAGAGAGGCCTGCTGATTAGAACAAACTTGAAAGGCCAGATGTAGGCACGGTTACGCAAGTGTTAAAAGTTAGTCAGGCTCTGTTTCATGCAATTAGTGTCATAGCTTTGTGTAGAGTTCTAGGGGTTGTAACCCAGTTAATATACTTTCAGGTTCCAGTAAGCCATTAAAGCACCAGAGGTGATAAGTTGTTATGTATTATTTTAAGTGTCTCTAGATGAAAAGAATAAGTTTTACTTGAATTTCTACATCTTTGTGTTTTATCTTGTGACCACAGTGAGTAATGAAAGACAATAACTTGCTTTAATATGTAGGGATAATTTTTAAGGGTAAGCAGTTAGTTATAAATAATTAAATTAGGTAAATAGATAACCTTAGTCATTATGGATTTACATGTTAACTATTAAATTTTATTTTTTAGCAATATTTGTTAAAAAAGCCCTATTAAAATCAAAATCTAATAAAATTTCACAGATTAAAATACATGTAATTTATGACACTGATTCTCAAACAACAACACTCAAAAAAATATTTATCCGTCATTTTAATTTGAAGCCTTCCCAAGCATTTTGGCTAGTTTACATCGATTTCCTTAATTCAAAATGCAATTTCTTTATTCAAAATTAAATCAAACTGTAACTGTTAATAAAATTAACATAATCCTTATAAATCACTATGCAGTCGAATTTAGGATCCACAGAGATTGCATCAGATGGGAAAATGCCTAGTGTCAGCTCTGTGTGTGATGCATTAAGACATATTAGATGGATCTTTTAAATTTTAAGTTTTCAATTTCTTTATTAATAAAAAAAATCCCTTTCTATAATGCCTGCCCAAGTGATAAGATTAGATGCATTTTTAATATTTTCCATGCTTGTGTCTAGTGAATAGTAGAAAAAATAAAAGGAAGATAAACATGTTAAGAAAAAGATTCTAGTGTCAGGAATAAAAACATTCAAATATTATGTCTTCATTGTTCTTCCAGTCATTCTCCAAAAAGTAAGAAATTCTTCGAAAACTTTCTATAAAATTCATCTATTACGCGTTGCTACTATGGAGACATTTTTCATTTTATCACATATTTCTCGAATCTTCTAGAATCATGGGTCTATAAATCTTCCCTTCAAATCCTTCTAAACTTTCCAAGCTGCATTGTCAAAAATACTGAAGATAAATTATCCCAATTCTGTAACAGCAAAAAGCCAGAAATATTTTGAAGAAAAAAAAAAGAAAGGAGGGAAAAAGTGTAAAATTAATTTTATAGAGAAAACTGATGCATATTCTGAGAATTTTTAATATTCCGAGACAATTACATGGGGGAAACGCTATGAAAAAATTAAAAAGACGACATTTTTAATTAATTACATAGCAAATTTTGCTTTTGCTAAGAGCTGTTTCGTAAATTATGCTTTATAGCAAATTACCTTGTTTATTTTTCAGATTCAAAATATTGTATAATAAGTTGCCAAAACGAAACTTTATAATATTACAGCGAAAAATAAAAATGTTTTATTTTAATGTTATTTTTTAAATATAATTCCAATATATTACCATTATTTTAATGAAATTTATTAATGTTTTAAAAAAAATCGTCGAAAAATTCTCAGATTTCAAAATAAAAAATTTTCTATAGAAACTGACCTTAAAATCTCCAAATTTATAAGTAAGATAAAAGAATTCACATTCCCAAAAGCGAAAATTCTTTAAGAGCTCTATTACAAAAAATGAATTTTGAAATACTTATGTTTCACTTCTTGCTTAGAAACTCGAGTATCCCATCATTTATATTAGAAATAGAAACAAATGAAACCATTCAAAAGATAGCCATATATGTCGGTGAATCGCCAAAAGTATTCCTCCAAAATGCTAATTCACACTCAAAATGGCAGTCGTAAAAACAGACAAAAAATTTCAGATGATTAAAATTAAGGACCTTCTGCTGATTTGGGCTAAAATTAAGGACTTTTAAGGACCAAAAATCGGTTCCAAAAAACTTAAGGACCGTACGAACCCAGTTTGACACATCAACAGCTGTATTTATAAAGGCAGATGTTCAAAGTGCCCGCCATGCACATCGAGGCAGGCTTGAACGCGCCGTGGAATGGATGAGTGCACATGTCGCAGAAGCCTGATGTCCACTGAATTACAAGGAAAATGCAGATGAGCAACTATGTCCGTTTGTGTAGTCACTACGTCATCCAATTCCTTGAGATGGCCCCATAGGAAAAAATTCCAGCAGTGTGATATATAGTGATTGTGGCAGCCACAGAACCAGACCCCCCACGTGTGATCCAGCGTGTGTTGTATGCCATATCCAGCCAATCGTGTACAAAAGCACATAAATGCACCACAGCCCCATCATGCTAGAATCAAAGGATGTGTATTGTCGCTAAGGGTACGTCATCAAGGAATTTGGTTAAGACATCATGGAGAAATACCAAGTAAGACTGTCCTGAGAGCCGTTCAGGCAACAAACATGGTCTAAGCAGGCAATCCCTGATATGCCGCCGATCACATTTACAGACCAACCAAAGTTCCTGATGTTTTTGTAGCTTGGATTACATGCGCATGAACCAGGGACCACATATGGCTGTTGTGATAATTGAATACTCCATCACTAGTGAAACATGCTTCATCAGTCCATAAGAGTATCTGCAATGAAACCGTTATCCGTGTTATGTTGCTGCAAGAGCCATTCGAAAAGTCCACGTAAGTCTGAAAGTCATCCAGTTTTAGAACTTCATGTTTTCGTACCGAAATGGGTATAGCTCCTCTGACCGTAAGAGCCTATGCACAGTACTTTTACTCATATTCAGCACATTGGCTAGAGCGTGCGTGCATACCTTGGACATTTCTTCTACCCGCCGCAGCATTATTTTGTGTTACCAACAGGGCGCTCTGCAGTCTTCCAAAATTGTGGCAACTGTCTCTCGGGCAGATGCTTTCTGTATTTTGCAGTCTGTGGATGACTTTGGCATTGGGAGGATAGTGTGACGGATATCGACGAGCATACCTCTTAGCAGTTCATAAGGCATTTCTATTACATTCACCGTACATAAAATACATGTTGCGACATTCATGAACAGAATACGTGATCACCATGTGAAGAATATCGGTAGCTACACGATGTAGCCTTTTAAATACGAGTTCAATGGCAGCTTAACGCCATTCCACACAGCGTGCGCATGAAGCGAAATGTTCTGAACGTTATTGTCTGGAAAGATATACAAGTACTCCCATTGATATGTCCAATAAGGTATTTTTCTGTTGCACCGACTGTGGCGTACTGTCCTCGTGTAAACTGTGGATCGTACAGTTCTTTCGGCATTTTTTATGTAACCCCAAATGAGGAATGGGTTATACTGAAGAAAATATTCTGATGAAGATAAGTTTTCTGATAACACAGATTACTGAATGAAATAACATATTTAGAAAAACTGTATAAATCAAGAAATTAAACAATGGTCTAAATAAAATCAAAACTAGCATGAAATGAACTGCTAAACAACTGGATTACCCTTGATATTTAGAATCTGAACTTTTAATCCAGCATGAAATGAACAGGGAAACAACAGAATTACCCTTGATATTTAGAATCTCAGCTTTTAATCTAAAAAACAAAATGTATAAATTAATTTTGTTACAAAGTTTTTATATATGTATAATTTAAATGTTCAGAAAAAACATAAATTACAAAAATTTTGATTAATATATGTTATACTTTAATGGATATACGAGGTAGAATTCAAAAGTTCCCAGACTGAGTCTATAACATGAAAAATATTATGAATTAAATTGCAAAAACACATCCTCCTTTGAAATAAGATCCTTGTGCAACAACACACTTTTGCCAGCATCTGTTAAGTTCATCGAAGCATGTCTGGAAACCATTTTTGGCCATGTCCTTTAATTCAGCCAGCGATGCACATTTGCCTTCATCTAAAGATTGAAATCAACAACCCTGCAACTGTCTTAACACTTTCGACCACATGAGTTGGGACAAACCACTTTTAGAAAAGGGGTAACACAAAACGTTCTCGTAGCTGCACTACTGCACAAACTTTTTACATTATATACTCAGTCCGGGAACTTTTGAATACTACAACACATAATAAAAATTTACAATTAATGTTAAATCCAATCAAAACAGGTTTAAAGATAATTATGAAGATATCTTAACATTATATGGGAAATGCATGCATTTGGTACACAATCTAATCAGGATTTGCAGAGAAAGAAAATTTTTCAAAACAAAAACAGTTCTAATCTAAACTACAAGACCCTTTACCTATCAGAAATTACTTACCACAATTATTTCCTATAATATACACATTAGAATATGCAAGACCAGTTTTATTACTAAAAAAAGCACGGTATTATGAAATTCATATAGATATATTTAAAACTATATTCAAATGTACACATTTAATATGCAATATATATTGGAGGTTTTCTATAAATTAATATGATCACAATTTTCAGATGAAACATAATACAGAAGTTTCCCAAAGTTTCAAAACTTTTCCAAAATTCTTCTGTCGCCTAAAACTGTTACAAAATTTTTATAAATATGATTTAGTAATATGAAAAGGGGAAGACATTTCAAAAGAAAAATATATGTTCAAAAATTGTTTTTAAATTTACAAAGTTTAACTTTCTAAAAGTAACTTTTTCAAAATTTTGAAATGATTAATTTTAACAAATTGAGTAAACAATATGATGATGGATCTTGACTTAAACAGACAAAATTTAATGTATTCGAAAAAAATGCATATAAATCAAACACAAAGTAAGAATTTCATAAATGGCCTCTCTCATGGTAACAGAAGCCACTGAAGTACAAGACTGAAGACTAAGCTATACCCTAAATAAAAATAAAAGCTAATTTTAGAAAGGTTAACTCCTCAGAATTTCAACTCGTATTTCGCTGTTCAAATTGTTTTTGAAAAAAAAATGTGTCATGGTTGAGAAACTTACAATAATTGAATTTAGCTATTAGTGGGCACTAGCATACTCTTTAAAGATTAAGTGACATCACATAGGACTTTGAGCATAAAAGTACAAGTAGTTCAGTCGCAAAATCATTCAAAAAATATTTGGTATTTTTCCGTTTTGCCGGCGCAAACGATAAAGTCGCCAACAATGGTACAATTGATGCCAAACGGAATATCTTCACTGGCAACCTTTTATGCCTCATTTTCAAAACAAGTCGCAACCATTTCTTATCAGATTGATTGTTTCTTTCAATACTGGCATACAATTACATAGAATTTTTACAAGATAGTTCAATTTTATGCTCCAAGACCATTCGTGGTAATTAAGTTAGGTACAACTCTAATATACGCCCTAATTTCACCGAATGTGGCGATATGTGTTCTGCACTGGTTTTTGGCCCGACTGCGTGTTCTATGGCAACCCTGTTGATGTTGAAAAATCTTTCGCTGGAGCTCGTTGATTCGCCTCTGTGTCTGAGAAGATGGGAGGGAAAAATAAAATGGTAGTAGTTGAATTGAAGTTCGGCAAAAGGAAATATCATTGTGGCTATCCTGTTGAGGGGTAGTGGGTATCTGGGAGATTATTTTTAATGGCAGTGCATGATAGAAGTAGGGATTTGTGATTTTATTTATTTGTGAACCATAGTATAAATTTTCTGGATAGTGTGTCTGGCTGTCATGTAAATACGATACTGATTACGTGGCGGCATGTTAAAAGCGGTATAAAATTTATATTTCTGCTATTCGAAAACGCATTAATTCATGGTAAGTGCATTTTATTTTATCCTTGTTCTTATTTTGTAGAATGTTATGTTCATTGGTTCTTTAGTATGAATTTCTGTCGTTATGTTGTTTTTTTTAATTGTTTGAAATTTATTGTTTATTTGTTGTTTTAGTGTCTAGATTGTGCAATTCGTAGATGTTTGTTTTTTTAAAGTTGAAACAGAATGCTGTGTACATGGTATTATTTGAAATTTATTGTTGTTACGTTATTTTATTAAAGCGTGGAGTGCGTTAGATCGTAGATTCCTTCCTTGCCTAAATTGTGCAATTCGTAGAATTTTTTTTTAAGTTTAAACAGGATGCTGTGTACATGGTATTCTTGGAAAATTTATGTTGTTATGTTAATTTATTAAAGCGAGGTGTGCGTAGTTTGTAGATTCGTTCGTTGCCTACATTGTGCCATTTGTAGATTTTTTTTTAAGTTAAAACATGTCGCTGTGTACATGGATTCTTGTCAAATATTTTTGGTTAGAAACTTTACGTTTTTGCTATCTAAATTTTTTGTTTTTGTTTCGGATTTTTAGCTAAATTGTGTGTTCAAAACGTAGTTTTTGCATGTGTGAAAACCGCGTTTTTGGAGACATTTTAGGCTAAAAGTTCGAAATGTAGACAAAAATTTAGATAGTAATATGGCAGCGTGAAGTTTCTCGTCAAAAATATTTGACGCAAAATTTGGCGACTTGAGGGCGCATATCAGAGTAGTTCCTTAAGTTAATTAGAGTGCAATCACACCGCTCACCCAAAAATAAAGGAAAGGCAAAATCAAGGGTTAAATTCATCAATTTCAATGAGAAAGCACTAGTGAAGTAAAGCACTGCGGTTTTACATAATTTCTGAGTAAGCTATTCGTACGAATTGAAATAATCCTTGCATTTAAACTTGTATTCCAAATTAAGATTTAACTTGAAATTAATATAGATAATGACTGAGAGAATTAGGTTTCTATAGCGTAGTTTACATGATACGAGATCACTTGGAGTCACATTATACGAATCGGCGAACCAGGATGTGAACAATGAAAGCACAGTAAATTCTTAAATTAATTACAAATGAAGGATAATAACAGGATGTGAACAATGAAAACAGGATATGAACAATGAAAGCACAGTAAATTCTTAAATTATTAACAGGATGTGATTCTTACATTATTACACAGTACATTATTGCACAGTAATTCTTAAATTATTGTAGTATTACATTATTCTTAAATTATATAGAATTATATAGAATATATCTTAAATATTATTAAATTATATATCTTAAATATAATAGAATATATTCTTAAATTATATATATATAAATAATATTCATTCATATTATTCTTAAATTAGTGTAGTATATTATTAAATTATTGTAGTAATTACATTATTGCACATTATAAATTTAATATTTACATTATTGAGATGTAATTCTTAAATTCTTAACAGGAATTAAATAATTTAACAGGAATTTAAAATTATTAACAATTGAACAACAGAAGACAGTAAATCTTAATATTTTACAAATGTCTTTATTTATTAGCTTTTTACAAAATTTTAAATGATATTAAAATGTTTATGCCTTCAAAATAAAAAATTCTTAGAACTAACGTTTGTTAACATTTTTTATGTGTATACTGTATGTTGTCTGCTTTGCGAGATTTGTGCCAGCAAAACGGTAAAGTACCAAATTTTATACAAAATTTATTAATTACAATGAGCTCATAAAATGGTCCTTATAATTTAATTTACTAATAAAATTAAAATTATTTTACTAATAAAATTAAAAACTAATAATCATTAAAAATAATCTTTTTAAAATTCCTTTTAAAGTGAGTCTCGGTTAGACGTTCTCAAGCTATGTATTGATACCGTCTTGCCGAGATATACATAAATTTCTTGAAATATTGTTTTATTTTTCTGTATTACAGAATAATATAGTAAAATAATACAATTTATGAGTAGCATACATGTTTATTAAAATCACATGTTAATATAATTATGAGTTAATTGAGTACAATTCCATTACAACGGCATCAGTTAAAAATATGACAACAACCACGTCAAAAATCTTAGCTAGAATTTAACATTTGAAATATCATGGCTCGAGAATTATAGTTTTCATTTGAAATATCGCCGCTCGTTATTTTGAATATTTTTTATTAATGTTTAAAATATCGTGGCTCAAGATTTCTAGTTTTCGTTTGAAATATTGTCACTGGTTTATTATATTTTTTTGCCATTTTTTTTAATATGATAGATTACACAATTTAGCAGTTACCTAATAATGAAGAGGCTGCCATAAGATTCTTTCAGGATAAAGAAATAATTCTTAGCAACAGACTTTGTACTCAAAATCATCCGATGCAGTTAACTTTTGACTCAAAAAAAGCTCCTATATGGCGTTGTTACGTACGTTCTAACTGTGAAAAAAAGGATTGAGAACCAACACATGGTTTGAAGGCTCATGTCTCGCTTTCCTCAATGTCGTTCATTTTATCTATCTGTAGTGTCAAGAATCCACGTCAACTGAATTTTGCGAACTTCAATTAAAAATGAGCCATAATATGACAATAGATTGAAATAACTACTTGAAAGAGATATGTGCAAATAGTTTAATGTCTCGTAAAAGAATTAAAATCAATGGAGCCAATAAAATCGCAGAAATAGACAAAAGTCTTTTTACAAGATGGAAAAACAACATTGGGCACATTCTTTCAGAACATTTGAAAATGGGCTAAAAATCTATTGTAATTGTGATTATCTTTACTGTAAATTTTATTCTAAAAGTATATACTTCTCTCTTAAACCTGATATATAATTTTCATAATCAAGGCTTATATGATAATAAACCAAAAAATAACATACCATTCTAAGAAAATCAATTTTTAACACAGCAACCTTTTATTCTATACTTTTCTTGTGGGATTTGAGGGTTATTAAAATAATGCAGTTTATTTTCTTTATTACCGAAATTTTGAAAGGCACTTTGATGCTTAAATAATGTTCCACAACTTGAAATGTTATCTTAGTAATATCATAGATAATCACTGAAATCTCAGACAGTATACAAAATACGCACTTTGAATATAAATTTCATTATTTGCATAGATATTTTTATTACTGATGTTCGATGCACTTGTGTAAAATTTACTTAAAGTAAAACAATAACTGAAGGAAACACACATATAAACCATTTCTATTAAATCAATGTTCAAAGCATTTTAAATAAATATAAAATTATTTTTAATATTTTTTTGACCAAAATCTTGTTTTCAATAGGATTGATTATCTGCATTACTTTTCTAAGTACTAAAATATATACATTTCTTTGGATATAATTAATGTAGCTAAAAATTACGTTAGAGCTATGCATTAGACAATAAGTATACGGCTTCAAATATACAATGGAATGCAGTCAATCACTTGAAAGCAAATACTATATATATAAATCTGTGCGAGTTTGTGTATATTATATATATTCATACAAATACTAATGTAGATATAGATATATATACATTACGAGAACAAGCAGATGAACTATTGAAATTAGCTAAAAAACGGCGCGGGGAATTTGCAGGTAATCCAAATCATGGAATAAACGACTACGTTCAAAGTAAAGTTTAGAATACCAAGTAAAGACGCTTTCAAAGGACGTTTTCAGATTCCATTTTTTTTTACGTATTCGCTGACAGCAATAATAAAAATAATTTTAAAAAAATATTTCATTAATAACCTTTACAGAAGAAGATGCTAAGGGTTAACAATTTGGATTTAATTAACCATTTCTCGAATTTAATCATTCAATTCAATATTGCAAGTATATAAGATAAATTTAATTTATACTCTAAACCTTACTGGATAACACATATATTCCGATATTCTACCGTTTCAAACGTGAATTTTCAAACGCACTTTTAAAATTAAAACTTACTACGATCTGCAATAATTTTCCCAAAATAGCTTCTGCAAATTCTTGCATAAAATTCATATAATTAAGATAAAAATAAAAATTATTCAATTAAACTATATTTTATAAAGCATTACTACGCTACTCGATCGCTTAACAATCAAAATCTAACCACAAATACTTCAATGCAGTACTCCGCAAAACCACTAGCGTCTAGAGCTGGAGCAAACCGCATGTATTCGTTA